AGTTAAAGTTTTTGCCCCTTGTTCAGTTTCTTTAAAAGGCGTGGAGAATTTTCTCTAAAACTAAAACCAAACAAATATACACACCAATAAAATCAAACTTCTCCTATAGGTAGGGCAAAGCCCACTTTTGGTGTAGGTCTTCGCGTTGTTGATTACTGTTGCGATATACACGTATAATGCTCATCTTGTCAAATTATTATGTTTCGAAAAATTTGAAAAGGCACCCTTCGATTGGCGCAGACTAAAGACCGCTCACACTGACATTTGCGCAATTTAACTGTCTTGGTACCGGTAAGCTCATTACCAACCCAACTCCAAAGCGCTGCTCATTGTCTTTCTCATTCTCAATCTGTCAATTCCAAATTGTCTCAAATTTCAAATTCAAGTCAATAGACATAGATCTAACCTATCTGAGCTAGAACAATGGCTGAAAAAAAAGAAAAATCTCTGTTCCGACCCAATCTTTGCTGCTTCCTGATCCTCCTTTGATTATCTGACAGCCGATGCCATAACACTGTTCACGTATCCCTCCAACTTCGGATCCCTCGAACTACGGATCCCTCGAACTTCGGATCCCTCGAACTACGGATCACTCGAACTACAGATCCCTTTAACTACCGAGGCCGGTCCCGACAAGTTGAAGCTATCCGTGTTAAACTGTATACAGAAGTATATATTCATATATATATATGTATAAATCTCAACTGAATTAGTGTAAGACTCTGCCATACACCAATTTAAACAGTGGGCACTCCTGTACAATTGCGGTCTCATTTGCACTAAATCACACTAGGCCTAGCACAAAGTGTAAGCCTACTGGATATCGATACTGATTTAAATTTAAATAGTTGGTATCAATGTTTTATCAGTAGATCTCGCCTACAAAATGAGCAGTAAAGTTTCCCATGTTTGTAACAAGGCAAGGGGGGTTTCAGGGGGGTTTCAGGGGGGCTTCAGGGGGGTTTCAGGGGGGCTTGCCCTGAATTTGACCATAATTTGAAGTTTTGCAATTAGGTTTGACAGGCTAGGCTATCTCTCCATATCGGCATGTGCAAAAAAAAATAATCGTTTAGAACCAGAAGTAATCCTCGGTGGGGCCAAAACTACTATCCTCAAACGGGACCGCAATGGTACAGGAGTGCCTGAACAGTGACATACGACAAAGAGAGTTACACTGAGCAGTCGATACTGTCTAGACTATTATTAATTATTACAGATTTAAAACAATCACAAAAAACAGACCCCCAAAAATTCCGCTCTGTACAGACAGATGCTGAAGATTATTCTCTGGACTACCGCAACAACAAACCAAACAATCAGAGAAACATTAAGCGTTCCCAGAACTGGCTTTGGAGTACAATAAAAACATGCAAAACTACAATACCCGCTATTTCAAACACATCAAAAGACATGAAAGCCCCGACAGGAGCATACAGTCACAAACTAATTATTAGAACATAAGAACCAGTCACAAACTAATTATTATAACGTAAGAACCAGCCACAAACTAATTATTATAACATAAGAACCAGTCACAGACTAATTATTAGAACATAAGAACCAGTCACAAACTAATTATTATAACGTAAGAACCAGCCACAAACTAATTATTATAACATAAGAACCAGTCACAGACTAATTATTAGAACATAAGAACCAGTCACAGACTAATTATTAGAACATAAGAACCAGTCACAGACTAATTATTAGAACATAAGAACCAGTCACAGACTAATTATTAGAACATAAGAACCAGTCACAGACTAATTATTATAACATAAGAACCAGTCACAGACTAATTATTAGAACATAAGAACCAGTCACAAACTAATTATTATAACGTAAGAACCAGCCCCAAAAGGAAAGAAGAAGAGAGGTAGACCAGCACAATGCTGTGGACAGCAGGTGACCGGTGTGGCTATGATGGTGGACCCAGGTACACTGGCTCAGAACTTAAATATTGCTACCCTTGGATGGTTTACTTTTTGTTTAATGGGAGGAGCGACCCTTAGTTTGGCACATTTTGGGTCAAGCTGCGCAAATTGAGATGTTGGCTGATTTTTTAAGATCAACCAGTTTTTTTGTTTAAAAAAAGCAAAGAGACAATTATGAAAATTTTTCTTCTCGTCGTAAACAACATGAAAGTAGGTTAAAATGAAGAGAATTTTCACAATAATTGTTTTGTTTTTTTTCAGTTTTCCCCCTACTCCTTCCTTAATTTTCATCCTTTTGACATGAAGCGTTGAGGAAACATATATGGCAAGGCTGCCATGAATGTAAAAGAGAGATATTTGTGAAAAAAAAACAAGACACTGTTCCATTATAAGCAAGCAATTACGCGACCAACATTTAGAAAAGGTTTATACACCTGGGAAAATTCTCCTATTTATTTTTCTTTTACACTTCTTGTTTAAAAATAGTTCCTGTTACGTTCCTCTCACCAAATTTGTTCTGTGTTAGGAAAAGCCTTAGGATTTTTTAAAAACTTATTATCAAGATGCCAGGCGTTTCCAGGGCAACCATTGTAGCTATGCACAAAAAAAAAAAAGTATTATCAAAAGGTATCTCTATGCTTAACTTATACTTACTTAAGACTTGATCTCGGGAAACAAACATAGAAAATGGACCTCGAGGGTCGCTCCTCCCGCTAAGTAATTTGTTTTATTTTTTAGTAAGAGTTTTACAGCACTTGCAGCACAATTACGTCATAGAAGTGCGGAAGATTCGAGGGGTTACAAGCGAATAACAAACACAAAAAAGAAGGAGGGGAGATAAAGACAATAGACGTTTGACAGGAAAGAAGAAGCAAACCACACCCACCAAACACTGACCGAAGTAATAGCACTATCACAAATTTATACAAAATTTATACACACGTGGGTCATATCATAAGCCTAGAGCCTGCTGGTTGCTAGCAAGAAACATACAAATAGAAAAGAAGAAGTAAGAGATAAGGATAGGATGGATGTTTGTTCTTTTCCTAGCTTTGGGTGCCGTGACGAGCCCAGGCTAAGCGAGATGATGAATGATCATGATGATTTCAACTATAGATGACATGATAATATAGAACTCTAGATGATGATAATGATGATAACTAACTGATGGAAAAAAACAAAATGAAAGATAAGAACTCAAGCCTCAGACCTGGGCACTCAGGAGACACAACCTGGTCTGTGCGTTCCTTCTGTTCCTTTATTTAACTGTCCCCGTACAATTATGCAAATTTAGACTAAATCAGACGGCCAATTTATGCACAAAAAAGCAAAATTATGCAAAAATTATGCAAGTTACCGTAACACAATTCGCGACATGTTTTGCACTTTTTCAACGTGAAGTTTCGTGATTTTCAAGTTTTATGTACAGAAAAATTGAAAACAGAACGTATAAGTATCAGTATATCCAATGTGTTGTGTATTTGGAAAAGAAAACAATACACATCAGTAAAAAAAAATAATAATCTCTAACTTTCAGCTGTAGATCTAGATCTAGATTTATAGAGGAAAGAAAAATGATTTTAAAAAAGGACATCTGGACCTCTGATGCTGGCACATTACTAAAACCAGGGACATCTGTCAAACATGAAACATCAGCAGACATGAGAACAACAACTTTTGATGGATTGAAAAATTGAACATGCTCAAGGAACAAAATCACAACCCTTAACCTAGATCTTCTGACAAGGGAAATAACCAACTTTTCACTTTTAAATGAGGCTTATTACGGTGATTACGTCCCTTTAGTCACATGGCGTGGCGTCAATTAATTGTTTTGTGTAAAAAACAAAAAAACCCTGAAAAAACGCGGAAAATTCAAAATTATGCAAATGTTGCAGAATTACGCGAAAAAAACGCGGCACAATCGCATAATCCTACGAGGACAGATTTAAGTGAAGAGAAGCACACCGACATCATAATGGACATTTAGTGCTGGGAAGTAAGACAGACAGACAGACAGACAGACAGACAGACAGACACAACAGAGGGAAAGCAAAGATACAGGACCGGACCTACCACTGGCCCCCTTTCAATCACCCACAAATACAATCTGGGCAAGATCCAGATCCCATATTTCTAACCAAAAACAACAAAAAGCAGCCTTACATTAAATGTGCGGCAGCGTGGTGGAATCAGGCTCTCGTCAAAATAATCAAATTGAAGAAACTTACATTTTTCCGCAGGCTTGTGAATTTTTATTAAATTTTTGTTTTTTGGCTCAACACTTTTCATGCCTTTTAAAGAACTCATAAAAATTTGCGTGTGGATTTTTCTGAAAAACATTGAATAAAGCCATAAAAAATGTATATTTTCAGTTATCACAGACTCTTAAGCTAAGGAAATAACTAATCTTTGGCGGCCATTTTCTCACTAATTTTATCTCTGAAAACAAGTGACACTCACCTCCTTCTTTCGCAAATATCTCGACTGGTATTCAAGATAAATGGATATTTTATTCATCCAAATAAAGACAAGTGAACAAGTGTTAAGACTATACCAGTAACTCTACACGCCCAAAAATGGACGAGAGCCTGATTCCACCACGCTGCCTCACAAATATATTACATGACGAGAGCCTGATTCCACCACGCTGCCTCACAAATATATTACATGACGAGAGCCTGATTCCACCACGCTGCCTCACAAATATATTACAAAGTCAAACATCAATGGTACAAAGGGAAATAAACTTGTTTAAAAGTAGGTGCTTTATGCCAACAGCAGCACAATTTAGATACTGTATATGATGTTAAAGGAATTTATGATTACCTGAGTAGTTTGAAAGGGTTCTTTTAGTTTCAATTTTTCATGAAGGTGAATGTCCTATCGGAAGCAGAATCGATCACTACAAAATGATCAAGCATGGATTTTTTGCTACCAAAACAATGTCCTTATCCTTTTATATATGGCTTCAAGACATACATGTAATACTTTACTAACAATCTGGCATCCGTAAAAATAGGACATGGGACCAAAACTAAAAAAAGATCACTTCAAAACAGCACATACAGCTCATTTGTTTAATTCTTAGTTATAGGTGGCTGTTACAGAGAGTTTGATTCCACTTCTAACGTCTTATTAACATAATAAAAGCAGAAAGACAATGTACACAAAAATAATATATATATATATACACATTATATTCACTACACATAAAGCAGCAAAGACCATACACTTTCATCATAGCATTAAGACTACGATATAAATAACAATGATCATGAAAGCACTTGATAATACTTGTGGACAGTCAAAACTGAAATTTATCCAGTTGACTGAAAATCTGATAGACAACCCCCCCACACACAAACACATACACATATTCTGTAGCCAAATTTCCCTCTTTATAAAGTACAGTGGAGTCCACTTAAACCAAAATCTGCACGACTGCCGGATTTTCTTCTTCTGTTTAGCCCAATTTTGGTTTTTATTTTCATAGTAGAGGGTTTTACGGCGCTCGCAACTGCATAAGGTCATATGAGCGCCAATAATTTTGGTTTCTAAAGAGGTCTTGCCCAAAAAGAATATTTTCCAAATTTCTGGAATTTTCTTCTTTCAGTTTACCATTTGTCACTGTTTGCGGACCAACCCTGTTCAGTTTAAGCGGGCTCCACTATGTTGTCAAAGCTCTGACGGAAACTCATTAACTCGAATTTTGGGCAAAAACCTGTTAGGTTTTGGTTTGTTTCACCAAAAGATTCCTGATACCTTGATACACAATGTGTATAAATATTAAATGTAGATTCAAATGCTCAAAAACGCACTTTGAATTGAGTGCAAACCTCGCTATCCACCGTAACAACATGTCTGACCCTTTGTACCTCATTAAGTAACACCAAGGCTATAAGAGAGCACTTATCATGCGCAAAAGGCCAGTGAAAATTGTTATCATCTTCCAAACCTCCTTATCTTCTTCCATGCGGCCATTTCATACTCGATGTGTTGAGGGTCATAGAAATTTTCATTCGCCAAAAACATATTCTAAAAAACAAAAGAGCTCACTGACAGGCCATCAGAACATCATAAAAACAACACAGGGCATGCTAAACAAGTGCATTTTAAAGACAGCCCAGAGATAGCGAGGTTGTTCTAGAGCAACTGAAAGCCACGCGCTGCCCCGTTCTTACCTCGATAACACCTTAGAGAGGTTCACCGGAGCAGCCATTGACAAAAATCTGACTGCCTAAGGGTAAACTTAACAATGTTAGACAGTTTTTTTTGTCTCATCTGTACAATTTTAAAATTCGAGTTACTGAGGTTCCAAAGGATCACTGATGATGATATTGTCGCCGTCGTTGATCATCGTCATATGTCAAAATAAGATGATTTCAAGAGCAGCAAAAAACTTTTATTTTGCTCAGGACACTAACTTAATACAGAATGTTTATAATTTGTCTCAAGCCGTTTCTATTTTTAAAATTTTAAGAAGATGAATGAGACTTGGACCAGTTGAGGCAACTCATCAAACTCTACAATCTACTTGATTTTCATTTTCCTAAAATTTTGACATATTACAATGCTGAATGAGGGCGACAATATTTTCTTAGCTTTCATTAGTTCTAGTACTTCCAAAGGCATAAATGTCACTTTGACTAACTGTTCATCATATCAATGGCATACCATCAGCTGATGACATACCTACTGCTCATTACAAAGTTGGACCTCACACACAGGGCGCCTTCAATGTACCATTCAAGTGTTTGTTCAAATGTTTGGACAAGCTGAAGACACCATTGGTCTTATAAGATTTACAAATATTACAATAATGGCAATCTCCTTCTTCTTCTGTGGTGAAATTGCCTGCCTGTTTCAACAAAAACTTGACAACTTCTTGCTGGCGTTTACGCAACAGTTTTTTCCTCTCTGGTTCATTTTCGGGAACAGTTCCTGCATCCTCAAATATGTCGCTCTCACTCTCGGAGCTGTAGTGAATGTTCTGCTCTTCATTGTTAGAAGGAACAATCTCATCGCAGCCTTCAGCGTCATCTGGCTTCACCGGGGCAGAAGAGCTCATACTCTCACAAGACTGTGGCAACATGCGTCCGTTTGGTTCCAAGGAGATTACCTGGCTTCCTGACATGACACGATTGACGGCTGTATGGTTTGGAGATGCGACGTGTGATTCACATGCATTTCTGGTCAACGGGTCTGCATTTTCAGAGGGTACCTGCTCCAAGTTTTTGGCAGACAGTGGCGCAACTGATTTGAGATCTTTGATGTCTTCTTCTTTGATGTCGGACACAACAGCTGGTTCTATTCCATTGGCGAGACCAAAATTATTTTCACTATATTCCTCAACATCATGCTCTACTACTATCTCAAAGTTCCCATCATCCCTCCACGACTCAAAATCAGAGTCAGAATCTCCTCCTATCTCTCCCTCCAGATCCTTGAACGGCCGTCGCTCGAGATCAGCGTAGTCAAGTTTTGGCTTTTGCCGAATTCTGCGACTTCTCCTGGAAGCCTGACTGGTGACTTCAACATGGCCGCTGCCCGCTCCGGCCTGCGACTGGACTCTGGCAGCTAGGATGCTCACTTCTCCCGTTGGCAGCCACTCTCTTGAACGTCTTATTTTACGCTTTTTATAAGGGGGTTTTCTGCTAGGAGACCCAAAGCTCTTGTTGGACACGTGTGTATCTTTCTGTAGTGAGAGTGAGTCAGAATTTTTCTTGTTTAAACAATTTCTTGTTGCTCGCTCTAGTTCTTTGTCACTCACAACCAAGCGTGTGAGAGCGACAGAGGCTGGTTTTAATGCCGAAGTCAACAAATCAATGTTTCCCACAAAAGTAAGACGTGGATTTGTGCTCAGTGGCCCCTGTCTTTCACTTTCATCGTTGAATATACCAGCATTTTTTGTCCTTTCCCTTGCCAGTTCTTCTCGTCTTTTCTCAGACAGGAATTTCCTCTTGGGCGATCTCATTTTACCCAAGCCCTCACAGTCTTGGGGACTCCGGCCTGTTGAGGATTTCAGAGTCGATAGCCTTCGACGTTTCTTTCTCTTGTGCTCACGGTGCTCGCTCGGTGAACGTCTTTTGACTGTGGGTTTTGCAACTCCAAAACTAACATCAGCCTCTGAAGACTTGGGTGTCATTAAATGTGACACAGATGAGTGTGTATTCCTGGAAGACATCTGCCGGTGTACCTTAGGAGATGAATTTCTGTGAACACTGGTGTCATTTTTTGTTGGACTAGTAAGCGTGGAAAAAGCAAAAGTGGAAGGTGCAACCACAACCGAGGGTTGAGGGGTAAAAACAGAAGAGACGACAACTGATGCTGATGGAAGGGGGGGAATGTGGGGGAGGAGAACCCCTGTTGCTGGCATAGGTGCGATTGGAATATGTCCAACTGATGAAGCTGGAAAGGGCGCAATCGGAATAGGTGCAGTGCTTGAAGATGCATTCAGCACTGGAGCAAATGGAATGGGACTGAGTGCGAGTCCAGAATTTGACGCTTTTTGGGGGCCGTTAGAGGATGGAACCACAATTGCCTTCGAACTTATGACCAAGTCTCCACTGACGCTAACTACATTTTGAAGGACAGAAGGATTTAACAGAATCTTGTTCACATCCTCCTTAGTCAGAGGACCCACCAGCATCGTCTTGGTCTCCGACATACCTCCTGGCGCTGTAATCCGTGCAGAATCTGACACTTGTGGGACCGGCAAAGGACTCATGACAGCATCTACTCGCTTTTCACGACTGGCCGAGCACATTTTGGTTTCTGAGCTAGATTCCACTTGTGGCGATAAATCAACCTTTTTAACAGGAGAGCAGGAGATCTGCTCACTTCCCACTTTTTCTCTAGGTGTAGACCTAGTTGCTTTGGTTGTGCTTCCATCTCTGTCTGGCATGCCCTGCTGCACTGTTGATACCTTTTTGTTTCTCTTACGTCTTGAATCTTTTCCCCAACCTCGTTGAGGGCCGAGTGGAGCAGTACGAGATGACGACACGTGTGTGGACAAAACCGGTTCCTGAGTGCACGACATGGTCACTTGTGTAGTTGACATGGATTTGAGATTTGATGATGCTCTTGTCTTCTTCTGCGACAGTTTTTTCCCCTGACCAGGTGAAGTTGAGGCCACACCAGGAGGCAAGCCAACTGTCATTCTTCCAGGAGTCAGAAGTGGGCTGTGAGCTGACGGAGCTGGGGCACTAGTATCCAGAGCAGAAATCTGTTTTGAGGACGTCATAAGGGCGGGTGATAAGTGAACTTTTGACACTGCTGTTACCGAGGACAATAAAGGCACCTTTGTCAAAGTTAACTGAACTGACACTTGCGCTGTCAAGCTGGCTAGCTTATCTAACATGGGCGGTGGCTCTACCGACACATGGGCCGAGGGAGCTGAGGTTTGTGGTGATGGCAGAGATGCTTGGGGCCTTAGCCCCTGACTGGACGATGACGATACCTTTGGCAACAGCTTTCTTGTTTGTGTCGAAGGGACTGATCCTTGGGGTAAGGGTGAGGGTCTTTGTGGCGAAGACACTGATCCTTGAAGTAATGGTGAGGGTTTTGTTTGAGTCAAAGGGACCGATCCTTGAGGTAACAGCGAGGGTGCTAAGACTGAAACTGGAGACTGCAAAGCTAACTGGTTCGTACCCTGAGTCAATGATGACGACTGCTCTGAAGAGGAAGTCACTGAAACTTGAGGCGATGGCACGGGGAGAGAGGCCAGAGGTACTGACAGTGGAGGTAGAAACACAGGTGAATGACTCATGACGACCGGGCACGGAACCATCATGCTCGAATGGTTGTTGATGATGTTTTGAAGTAAAATATTTTGTGCTGAAGGAGGGCTATTCAAAACCACATTTGCTCCTGGTTTGTCATGCACATTTGAAAGAGGGAACCCCTGGTTTGCCAGCTGGAAATTTGTGATATTGTTCTCGTTGTTCCCTGTGAAAGGCAGGAAGGAAGGTGTAACCAGAAAATTGCTGTTTGGCTGGGGGAAAATAGCTGTTGGTGTAACGGCGACAGAACTCGAGTTCACCAAAGGGGTGGGGGTGCTGGGTGCTGAGGGTGACAGCACAACACCCGAAGGAGGGGCGGTGAATACACTGTTGCTGACCGAAGAACATGTGGTCAGGGAACTCGACACAGGAGTCACCACTGCTGGTTTCATCTTTGTTTTTTCAGAGGATGCAAAAGCTTTGTTTGGGCGTCTGGCCCGTTTCTTCAGTGAGGGAGCTGGGGTTACAGGATAGGAATCCTTTGTCTGGGAGGAAATCTCGGTGACAGGTTTAAAAGAAGGGTTAGAAGCCTTACGTTTTCTGGCACGTTTTCTCACCGAGTGAACAGCAACTACCCGGCCTGAATCTTTTTTATTTGAGGATGTATTTTCCGTGACAGAAGAAGTGACTGCTGCAGAAAGTTCTCCCTCTTTCAACACCTGGGATTCTGATACAGGCTCATCTGGCTTTGCTGCGGGCTCCGTTTTCTTCTTGGTCAGATCTAAAGCATATTCCTGCAATTGCGGTGTTGGTAAGGAGGTTTTAGGTGCGGGCTTCACACTGGGGCTACATACGGTTGCGTTGATCGAACTGTCAGATTTCTTCACCGTCAGATCTATTGCCTGTGCTTGCTGTGCGTCGTAGCTTCCCTTGCCGTGGGAGAGAAGATGGGGCTTGGTTTTCATGGATGGTTTCTGCTGGTTGCCGCGAGCACAGGTAGATCTGAGGTTTTTGAACCCAGATTTTTTTCTGGAATTAGCGTTTTTCTCTGGAGAAATCGGTTTTGGAGCTGATAGATGACCATTTACTGTGCTGGGACATTGACGTTCTCTCAAGCTCCGAGTCTTGCTGAGAGTACTTTCACTGTTACTTAATTTCAAATTTTCACCTGCATCTGGTGGCCGTTTTTCACTGTTCTTCAAGGAAGAAGGGATGTCCAGAGAAGGGCTATTAGCAACAGCGCCGCTATGAGGCTTCGTTTCAGGAGAAGACAAGTCGATTCTTACAGCATTCTTTTGTGAGGATAGTCCCGACACATTTAATGTTTGAGGGGATGAGATAGCCGAAAGATTTGCACCGCCAAGTGTTTTACGGGACAACACATTCTGAACCGGAGATTTCACTGACAGTGAAGTGGTGGTCACAACATTAGGGACTCTGTTTCCTTTCCGCGGCTGCCTCACAGTTGGAGGATTTGTTTCCATATTTTTTCTGTTGGTTGGAGTCGGCATCAGCCTCGGAGGTGCTGGATCAACAATAGCACTTTTCTCCACTGTGCCCAGTACATTTGATGGTAATGTCAGTACAGGCACTGGCTGGCCCATGGCTTGGGATGACGAAGGGCCGTCGACAACAGCATGTGTAATGTTATTACCGGGAAGAAAATTAGGGGCAGCAGCAACCGGAGACTTAATGTGGGTTTGAGTCAAAATCTGCGCAGCATCAACAAGAACTAGCTGGTTCTCCACCAAAGGAATTTTTGAGACAGAAGAGGCCGCGAAAGCTGCATTTTGTACTGTGTTCTGTGATGGTGGTTGATTAGCAGTCTCGTTTCCTACTACAAGTGGGTTTTTTAGAGGCGAAGATACAGGGATGCCAGCACTCGATGTACTACTTACACTCACTGTCGGCTGACTTATCAACTGTTTATCTACAACTACAGGGATTCTTATGGGGGAAGAAATATGGACAGCAGCATTAGACATTGCACTCCCTGTTGACGAGACCGGGGAGCTCTGCGTGGCAGGTTGTGGTAGGCCCTGTGAGGAACTTATGAGATTCTCGGAGACAGGAGCCGTGCCATCTAACCTGATATTTGTGGCAGGCATTGTCATTGACAGCGGTGCAGAGCTGACACCCATAAACATGTTTGGCTGAAAATTTGCCAAAGGCAACTGGAAATTTGTGTTCAAACCATGTATGGGCATCGCCATGGAAGGAAAGTAACTCAGTACAGGGCCAGCTCCTTGTGACATCTGCACATTGGGAGCAGGTGCTGGGAACTGAAACGAAGGAGCAACCAAAGTGGGCCCGAAAGAGAAAGTCGACATGCTCTGATCATTAGCAGAACTGATTGACACTGTCCCCGGAGTTTGAACAACACTGCTAGGAGCACCAACTGAGATCAACGAAGGGTTGCTCAGAGTTGGATTTCCAGCCCTCACAGAAGTGGCAGTCCCCGGCAGAAATGAGGTCACAGCACTGCTGGTAGCTGGCCTGATATTCCGATAAAGCATGGCAAATGGCTCCTCCCCTTTTGGCCGGAGAGATCTCATCTTTGTTGGAATTTCAGTTTTTTCTTTTTTCTTCCTCACACGCTGTGGTATGGGATGAGGCTGCTGTGTTGGAAGCCGTGCCACTTCTTCCGTCCTCGGTTGTTCCTGCCCCGGCTTCTCCTTTGACTTCTTTTCTGCACCCACTACCGGCGGTACTTGACTTTTACGCCGCTCTGCGCTCTCGGAAAGCGAGGTCTCTGCAACTGGAGACATTGTTTCCTTGTTCTGTGAACAAATGTTTGTGGAGAGTTGTTCATCTACTTCTTCCTTGACGCATGAAATAGAATCCTGGACTGCATCACGGCTACTGGAAGTGCAGCTGTCGGGGGGTGAGTCTGTGTTGTCAGTCTGTGCGATGTTCCCATGTTCTTCTTCAGCCCCAACTTCTTGCTTGACAATGACAAAACAGCTGAGCTGATGCGATTCCAACTGGGCTGGAGATGGATATTTGGTCTTACAAAAGCTGCACTGGAACACAGCAGACTTCTCTGAAAATAAAGAATAAGAGCAAAAGTTGTAAGTCACACTCAAAAAACATTATATCGTCAGTCAGCTGTTCAAATGTCCTAAATATATAATATTTTGAAATTTCAAAAAAATTGCAGTTTCTTAATTTGTCTCTATTGGTTGCAAGTGCTCAAAAAAATACTTTGTCGAAATTCAAATTCATAATGTTAGAAAAAAGAAAAAACCTAAACAAACCTAAATTTTATATATATATAACAATTATTCATTGATTAATAAAAGAATGAAACGATTATTTTTTTCTCTCCAGAAAAATTTTGCTTTCTACGCTTAGTTCATTTTAATAGCTTGCCAATGACAGTAAATTTATGAGAAACATAAGTTTTTAAACAAGCAATCGACTAATGAAATACTAGCACTTGAAGCCTTAGAAGTTCTCACATTAAACTTTTGTTTCAGTTTTAATAAAAAGAGTTTTACGGCACTTGCAACACATTAAGGTCATACAAGTCCCGTAGGTTAGAGGTGTTTCAAGAGAGTAACAAACACATACCAAAAAAACCCAGGAGAGATCAGGACGACAAGTTTGATAAAAAAGGAGCAAACCATATCTGAGCATTCGCAAACCGCCTGCAAACTAATTATATAAATCTTTAAATAATACCAATGCATACACATGACATAAAAAAGACAAGTAAAAAAAAAAGAGAGAGACAGTTTGAATACATATATTAATAACTCCTTTACACTTTTTCCTCACTTTGTTCAATAAACAAAATGAACGTTACTTCATAGAACTAAAGCTTCATACCCACTTCTAATGATCTCCAGCTTCAGCACCACCACTCGCAGTCTTACTTTGGTCAGAGTTTTATCACACTAGCAACACAAATAGGTCATCATATAAGTGCCAAAGATTCAAGGTGTTACTGAAGAGTAACATTAATCAAAGAAAGAGGACGGATAAAAGGACGATAGATGTTTGATCATGTTAGGTCTGCTCCAGACAACACCACATGTATCATCCGCCAACCGACCATGCAGTCATTTAAAAAACATTGCAAACGCCAGCAAGAAATATTTTCATGCTGCCAGTACCAAACAACAATCAGCAAATTGGGGGTCAGACCGGATTGAAAAATGGTAAAATGGAATTGGTTTAACGCCCCTATCAACATTATTAGATTATTTAAGAGACAGGACCTCTGAGTTTAACGTCCATCTCTGAAAAGACCGAGCCAAGCGGGAAATTCATGTAAAGTGCCATTCCAAAGGACACAACATCGGACGGAGCTTAGGTTCGAACCCCCGAGCCCGCAATCTCATGATTTCGAGTCCGGTAGCCTAACAATGTGAGGCTACCATCGACACTCAGACCACTTGCTGACAACATAATCTTGAGGCAGCTTGGTGAAACCATGAGCTCGTCAAAATAATGAAAAAGGAGAAATTGGCATTTTTCCGCTGGTTTGGCAGTTTTTATAGAAAAATTGTTTTCTTAACACCTTCTATGTTCCTTTAAGAACCCATTTCTGTGTGGGTTTTACTGAAAAACGTTGATTACAAGCAAAAAAAAATTTTAATAGTCAGTTTCCACGGACTATCAGGCTATGTAAATAACCAAATTTTGGTGGCCATTTTCTTGCTGCACTAATTTTATTTTAGATACCTGGTGCCCCCCATCTTCTTCAATCAGAAATATCTCAAGTTCTATTAAAGAAAAATGGGTAGTGTTTTCATCGAAATATATAGAGACAAATGAAACAAGCTTCAAGATGATGGCAATAACTCCACATGCCCAAAAATTGACGAGCGCCTGATTCCACCACGTCGTGACACAATGTAGTATAGTGGAGCCCGCTTAAACAGATTAATATAAAATCCGTAAACAGCAGTAAACCAAAAGAAAACAGTATCTAGATCTATATCACAAATATTTTTAACGGAAATTTGAGCAACCTCTCAAAAGTCAAAACCCATTTTTAAACAGAGGCAAATGCGATGTCCCTGCATATTTCCGTTAAAGTGGATTCCACTGTAATTAAAATAGCACAGTACACAATCAAACCCGTCCAAGATTGCCTATTGTCAAAGAGAAAAGTGCTCTTCTAAGGCAGGCGGGACTTTTGGACAGTCATCTCTTATCTATTTGTGGTGGCCTAATTTTGCTATTCAAAAGGCTTTTTAATGGCTGCATCGATCGACATGCGGTTTTCGCCAAAAGATTCTTTAAAATATTCTCCAGATCTTGACGCCCTTCGTTTTTTCAGTTTTGAGACGGTTTTGCTGCAAAAAGCTAAATTTCTTTATTTCGCCTATCATTTTTGTAGGCTGACGCTTCTGTCTCTGAAATTTTATAAAATCCGCCAGGTTTGTTTATTTCAAGTCGGTCGTACTTCCGTTTGAAACTATCGCGCATTGTCGCGCAATACTGAGCACTATTTTAAGCGTGCGACTCGTCAGATCTAGCCTCATGTTTTATTTTTATTTTTACTTGGTGCTAAATTCGACAGTGATCCTTTCGTTTGATGCCCATCATCGCTTTTTCTGTCTAGGCCTATCCTTTACTAATTTAGAAGAGGAATTCTATAGAACATGGTTTGAAAGACATCAAACTCTATAAAACATTGACTACCTGATTTTTTATATTTTTCCAATTTTGACATTCTACAATTAATGTTGAGAGATGGTAATAGATCTATAGACAATATATGTTGAGAGATGGTACTAGATCTATAGACAATATATGTTGAGAGATGGTAATAGATCTATAGACAATATATATGTTGAGAGATGGTAATAGATCTATAGATAATATATGTTGAGAGATGGTAATAGATCTATAGACAATATATGTTGAGAGATGGTAATAGATCTATAGACAATATAATATATATGTTGAGAGATGGTAATAGATCTATAGACAATATATGTTCTGATTTTCACTTTACTTTGGTCCATGATGATAAGAGCTGCTTTTCACCAACAATATTCAAAAACCAAGCAGTCATATAGGACTAAAAAGTAAAAGTATTCTATAATATATATATTTAATCTACATTATCAAGTGAGCGCCAGGGTAACAGTAACACACATCAATTCCTTGCTGCGATACCAACATAATGATCAAACTATCATATTATGATGACCCTGACAAAACATTCTATAATAGAGTCACAAGGCAAAGTGAAGTGAGCATCAATTGAAAAGAAAGAAGAGAATGGAATGGCAACATCATTATTGGCAGACTAGCCTATTTTACTACTGCAGGAATATTACAAAACAATGAAGCAGGTCCTCCTATATTTTTATGTGCCACCCCCCCCCCCCCCTCCCAACGATAACACTAGATCTAGATGTAGGCTAGATCTAAATAGTTAGAATAGCCACCCGCCCAAACCTACATCTTTACCCGTCCCCTTGGCCCTTATAGATATCTAGAATAATTAATATGAAGGAATCACTATATCTGTCACTACTGCTGTAAATTAATTGAATTGCTTACCTCTGCCTTTTGAGCCTTAGGAATAGACTTGTGCCTAAACTTACTAATCTAAAATAGTCAACGCAGCTTCCACAAAAACATTTTTTTTAAAACAACAACAACCAAACCCAAACTGGTCCCAAACACACGCACCTCGTGTGTGGAGGCCTAGTGTGAATTCTGTGTCAAAATTACCAAGGCGTCCAAGGCCTATGAAACGACAGAACCATTGTTGTGCAGAAATCGACCAATGAAAATGGAGCACATCACGCCCAATGACGGTAAATAATAATCAATCGGGTTCACTGTTGATTGTCACTCACCTTTGTTCATATTGTCCACACATCCGAGTATTGATCTGAGTCCAACGTAAATTGTCGCTGGGAAATAAAAAATTTCAAAAGTTCAGTTCAGCAACAGTACTGACCACAGCGGTTTTTATCCACACTTATTTCAGAACTGACGTCATAACGAGTAAAATGGACAACTCCAGACCCCAGCCAATGCTTCGACAAAGTTCGTACACAATCCTGGCTGGTCTTTTCCTTGTTCAGCGTTCTTGAATGCAACCAAGTTCCAAGTCCACAGTAAAATTTACAAACACAGTATGGATAGGAAAATCCATGTCATATTCGGTTTGGCCGGCTGTCACTGATCAAAACATGTGTGGCTTCACTTGTGTGCACGATCGCCATCAACACAGCCTTCTTGCCTCTTGCCTGCCTGGCCTCCCCGCCTCGACTCCGGTTTCGTTATGCAAATGAGGCCTTCCAACTCTGCCAATGAAAAGCGTTTCGCCCGACCTTTGTGTACGTCACTCTCATGTGACTTTCGTTTAGATAGACAATTGGCTGTTGCGGGGCCAAGTTGAGTTAGATGAAAGGCGTTGATTGGCTACAACATGAGAGAAGCGGGTGGAAGCTCTGCGGTAACACCCATTGGGACTGAACCTGTTTTGGCCTTAGGATTGTGGACAATTAATACATTTCAACTGTCTTGATTGTAACTCAAGCTTCAGTTTTACTCGTTTTCAATAACTGGCATGAGTAAATAGAACAAGGTGCTGACAAAATTGGTTGTACAAAAAAGCCCACTGCATGCAAATCTCTTTCCAAAAGAAACAACCTTGTCTT